TCTCTCAAGACAAAATTCATGGTTTAAAAATACATAATTCTTCACCTCAAGCATAACAATAGGAGGTTGTAGACATTCAATAAATATTAGTTATTTTTAGGTACTAACCTAATAAGTTATTTTATGTGAATATTAAGATTTAACAGGATATTTGTAGAGTTTATTCATTGCTACCTCATATTATTAACTTAAAATGAGAAATAGTTTCAAATCACTATTTTTAAAAATCCACATTTCTTAGACTTACTAAAGTTCTTAATACACTAACTTGAAAGCCATGATTCCTTGAATTTAGAAAATAACATGAACTTAGGAAAAAAAAATGTTAGTCTTTGTCGTTTTCAGTCATGCAAAGCTGAGCTTTTTGGGTAAGTTTGTGAAATTATTTTGTTAAATATAAACTTTAAACCAAAATGTAAATATTATCTACTTCTCCATTTATATAATTAAAAGCAAGAATTTTCTGTCAAGGAAATAATAATGAGAAAAAATGCAAAAGAAAAAGATGTATATGTTTGCCCTTAGCATAGTTAAATATACCTGTCATTTCACTAATGTTCTCTATATTTTATTTTTATCAGATCTTTAAGCTGATAAAGAGATGCAGCAAATAAAACATCTAGGTGATCTGGTGGCTACATTTATAGTATTTTAGTTATCAACATAAGGAGTGACAGGGAATAAGCCTATTGGGTGTTTGATGTTTAATGCAAATTAGATATTTTTGTGTTTTTGTGAATATATCTTATCTTTCATATATGTCTCTTAGGGATTAGAGGTCAGGCACTGTTAATAAGCTCAGAGAAAAATTAATGTGTGTAAGCACTATATATTAAAATTCTAGCAGAAAAAAAGTGATAACTAAAGGGACTGTGGCTTTACAGTAATATTAACCCAATAATATAATTATTACCAATGTTACTGATATGACATCATAAAATTTTTTTTCTTAGTTTTGGATTTCAAAACTTATTCTGTAAATTTACATTATCTTCAGAAATCACCTCCTTTTCCTGGATTTTGCTATGATAAATTTTTTAAAGGAGCTCTTAAAAGAAAAAAAAAGACTATGCTATAGTGTGGCAAATTCGCCCCTTCTCCATGACAACAGATAAAGAAGCTGTAACCATGACAACAGTAATGGGCCAGGGAGATTAGGGCCAGACTGGAGATGAGGCCTCCAAATGCAAAGAAAAGGAGTCCTGATTGGTTCTTTATTGAGATCTTACGGGGAGACAAGTTACTGTTGAGAGAAAGCATGGAGGGTTAGTAAGAACAAAATGACTTCCCCTGTATAAAATAAGAAAGCAATCCTTTGTCAAAAACGTGTCCCTTCCTTTTCTTACAACGACTGCTTAAATTGAGGTAAAGAGCTCTTGATTTATTCTGTTCTGAGCTTTATCTGATAAAGAGTCTAGACTAGCTCTTGGAGAACACACTCTGGAAGCCTGGGGAGGAGAGCGTCTGTGTGGGGTCCCGCTGCCCTCCCCTCGGCAGCCCTGAGTCGGTGGAGACACCGACTTTTTATTTTTATTCAAGTATAGTCAGTTTACAATGTTGTGTTAATTTCTGGTGTACAGCATAGTGATTCATTTATATATATATATATATATATATATATATATATATATATATATTCATATATTCCTTTTCATATTCTTTTTTATTATAGGCCATTAAAAGGTACTGAATATAGTTCCCTGTGCTATACAGTAGGACCATGTTGTTTATCTGTTTTATATATAGAAGTGTATTTTGTATACTCTGTGTGTGTGTGTCTGTATATGTGTGTGTATATATAGTTATATAGTAGTTAGTATCTACAAATCTCAAATCCCAATTCATCCCTCCCCACCCCGCTTCCCTCTTCCAACTCATTTTTCATGTGATACCATCCATAAACAAAGTGCTCTTGGGGGAAAAGGATCTGAAAATTTCTCTCCTGTTCTTTGAAAACTTTTTCTAACTTCTTGAATACTCTTAAAAGATTTTTCCAAGTCACCACTGTTCACATTTTGTTTAAAAAAATCTTCTGTAAAAGAAAATGTATTGAAAGGATCCCATTTTCTTTAAACTGGTTAAGATGTAGAGGTATTAGATTTTGAGAAAACATGCTATCTGTGGTTTCACATTGATGCACTGATAAAGGGGATATTTGTTATTTTTTTAAATGATAAACATTTAACCATTCTCATGTCTATAATTTTTTTTTCATTTCAAAGGATTTTGCCAAATTGACTTCTGAAAAGATTGTACTCTTACAAACTTCAACTGACAGCCTAAGAGGCTGGCCAGCACTAGATAAGAACATTCTTTAAAGTCCTTCTACTCTGATAGATTTTTAAATGGACTTTATTCTGATGGATTTTTTTAAGGTTTTATTTAAATGTACATTTCTTTTATCATTTTTCAGGTTGAACCCTATTTTTAAATAAAGTTTATTGATATTTGGACATTCTTTTTACTTTATAGATATTAACTGTGTCTCTTAGATATTTCACAAATACTGTGAGTCAGTCTTTCCAGAGGAAACACATGTAAACTAAGTTAAGAGGAAAGTAGGAGTTAAGTGATGAGATGGGCTTGTTAAAATGGGAGCTGTCTGTGCAAAGGCCCTGGGGAATTGCAAGTGGTTCAGCATAGAGAGAGCATGTTCAGTGTATAGGCATCAAAAAGTTAGGGAGCATCTCTGTGAGTCCCATGAGAATAATGGCCTCATCTCCTCTGTACTTAGAAGGAGGGCTGGCACAGGGTAGGTGCTCTGTGAGTGTTTACTGAATGGGTAGAGCTAATGAATGCTGCTTACTGTGGACACATGCAAGCCTCTGCTCAGAGATGTTATTTTTCTGGTAACAACACACTAGGTTATTGTGCAGTGAAGTTAATGCCCCAGGGATTACCCTCAACCTTTGGTGGAGAAAGAGTGGGTAGATAAATCCACCAGTGTGGTCCCCTCGTGGACGGATATCTCAGAGGCATGTGCTACGTTGACTCCCAGAATCCCCAGTGAGGTTGCCCTTTGTTACCCTCAGTTATAACCAGCCAGAAAAACTCACTCTTTCTAGCCTTCACTCCCTGCCCTGTTCCACTTCCCGACACCCCACTGGTCTTTCCTGGGATCACCTTCCAAAAAAGTATTTGCACTTAAATCCACTTCTTAGGGCCTCTTTGTGGGGGAAGCCAAACCAAGAAAAATGATAAACAGGAACAAGGCCACCATGCAGATTGAAAAGTCTGCAGTTTCTCCGAGGCAAAGAGTAGGGGCAGAGGCTCTTAGACAGCAGAGGGACATGAGCAGATGTGTCTTTTTACATGGCTATTCTGGATGCTGGACTGTGAATACACTGGAGGAAGGAGAGTGGAAGGAAAGCAAGAAGCTGGAAGACAGTAGTGGCAGTTCTGGTGAGAGAGAATGACTGTGTGCATAGGAGTGTGGCTGGGGAGATAAAATAGCGTGGACTTGCCAGATGTCCAGGAAGGGCTGAGTGAGGGCGAGTCAGGAAGAGTGGACCCATTTGGGGGGGTTCTAGGCTGTACGCTTGAGAGGAAAGTATAGACACAACCGAGTTAAGCAGCCCAGGAGAAGAAGCAGGCTCAGGGAGCCATTGAGGGGCAAGGGGAGGATACATGGACTTCAGTGTGCTAGCTTGAGCTGTCCATGGTGTGCAGGAGTAAAGGTCTTTGCCAAGAGGCTTCATATCATCCCTATTTTTGAGGTGCTTCCTATCCAGGCATCAGTCCCCTCCCCTCATCTTACTACTCTGCCATCAAAGATTGGCTAACTTGCTTCTAGTCTTCTGTTTATTTCAAATACTGTGCTGATCAAGAAAGCCAGGGGAAATGGGATCTACAAAGAAGTTGGCTGACAATCTTTGGGGCAAGAAATAACTTTGAAAGTCGTTTGCAGTTCTCTAAAACCTCTGTTTCTCTTTAGAACTGGTGTATATTGTAAATCGATAGTTTCTGGAATCACTGGAAAGTGAGATATCCCCCCCAACCCAAATGGATTTTCCAGCTAACAGGAGTTAGGTTCCTGGCAGGAACGCTCACTCAGCCAGCCCCTAGAGAAAGTAAATGCAAGAGTGGAGACTGACTTTGACAAAAACTGGAGAAAATGGCCCACGCAAGCCAGTTTGAAGATTAAATGTAGACAAATGGATTCTTGTGATTTGGGGCTAGGAATCACCTGTCCAGAAGAAACACATGTTCCTTAGACTTGTGGATATGAACAAATGAGAAGCAGACAGAGATACCCAACAAATGTAGATTATGAATTCACACACACACACACACACACACTCACTAGCAAACATCTATTACAGATTATAAATGTCCCAAACGTTTGAAAAACCAGTTTTCTAGCTGTGGATGATTCAATTATTCTTAAAATAACAGTTGTTAAATTTTGCTATAAATATGGTGATACTCTACAAGTAGGTGCAATTGTATATCTTGATGTCTTGTAGAGTTTTCTCTGTTATTTCTTTTACTAGCAGGTAGTCCACAAGAACTGTTTCTACTTTTTGTTAGCTCCCATCAACATTTAATTTGCTATTTTTCATTTTCTGTGGTCTTAGAAAATAGAAAAACATGCTCCTTCAAATTGTATCTAAAACAGTGTAGGCAGGCTCTGAGTGGAATAAGGTTTTATAATAATGACTTGGTTACCTCAAGCATTTATCAGTACTTGTAAGTCTACGTTTCCCTGTTTCATGCCTAAACAGGACATTTTCCATGTGGTCATGGATCCCACAAGTAGTAGAAACTGGACAAATATGCAGTAGGATCATACGTGTTATTAATCAATCTTTGATAAACCCTAGGAAGTTATAATATACCTTTTCTTTCCACATACTATTTTTTGCTTTCTCTTGTTTTTCTCCCATCCTTTAGAATCTATGTGAATGTATCATTTGTTTACTAATGGGTTTATTTACTTCCCTGCACATTTCCCACCTGTTTCTGAACACCTCTGACAGCCTCCTCTCCTTCCTCCTCAGCCATGCTAAGCTCCAGCATCCTGCCTTCTGCCCCCAGAGATGTGGTCCCTGTCTTGGTTTCCAGTCGGTTTGTCCGTCTCAGCTGGCGCCCACCTGCAGAAGCAAAAGGGAACATTCAAACCTTCACAGTCTTTTTCTCCAGAGAGGGTGACAACAGGTAGGTCCTACCAATGAAATTCAGCCTAATCCACCATCTCTTTATATGTAGGCTGGGGGGTGATGTTGGTGGGAGGTCTTGAGCAAGGACTTTGAAGACCGTGAAATCTCTCCTCTGTGCCTGTCACTCATTACTTAATGGAGATAATATGTCTCTGTTGCTCATGTGGTTCTTCAAAGCAGAAGAGCCTACAGAACCAAATTCAGTTATTTATAGAAAACTTCCTTGAATAAAGACAAGCATGTGAATATAGGATATCACTGTTTTTTTTTATTTCCTTGATTTTCAACGTGATAAACAGAGAAGAGAGTTAGTTCACTCTCAGTTCTACCAACACAGTCTGAGAGTGAAAGAACCACCGTGACTTGGATGCAATCTCAACTTGTCATTGACATCATATGATCTCAAGAAAACTACAGAACCTATCTGAGCCTCACTTTTCCTCTTTAATAAAGAGGAAATAAGAGCACTTACCTGCAAGGTTTTTGTTAGGCTTAAATTGGATTGCATCTATAAAGCTCCTTGGAGTGTGTCGAGTCTTTGGTACAGGTTCTTGTTAATATCATCACTGTGTAGGCACAAGCGAGGTCGTATGGCTCTGGTTTCAAGGTATCAGTCTACTGTTGTTTTTGTGTTTTGCTTTTTGGGTTTTTTCCTCGTCAATTTTCCTTCAAAATATTTAACTATTTTAAGACTTTGCAGTTTGATTTGTGCATCTATGATAGATATTAAGTTCCAATCTGTACGAGTAAATGATGTAATATCTCATTTCTTTAAATTTTTTACACTTTATTTTGTATTTGATCATTCTAATATCTGTGTGCGTCTGATTCAGCGGTTGGTCTCTGCTGACTCTTCCTCTTAGGGGCTTGTTTCTGCCCATGTTTGGCTGGTTCTTGATTGTTAACTCTAGTCCTTAGAAGTTCATCTGGGGGAAATTCTGAGGCCAAGGTTTAAAGTACATTCTCGTGGGAGGATTTGCTTTACCAAAATGAGACCACACTAGAGGTAAGTTTTGTAAGGTTTGTTTGGTCCATCCAGGTCTCATACCGATATTTTATTGGTTATAAGAAAGTCCATTAAGTATGATAACATGTGCTTTTCTGCCACTTTTCACGTATCCACTTGAATGAATAAATGCAGGCTTGTGGTAAGGAAATTTTAGAGAGATTGTTTTCTGTTCAGTGAAGTTATGACTGAGACTGGCCTGTTTCACCAGTTCCCTTGGGAGGCTGATTTCATTTTCTAGTTCATCCACTGGAGTTAGCTCTCTCAGGCTCCTGGCTGTATGCAGGGTTCTCTAATCAGACCTGATCCACTGCTTTACCCATAAGCTCTGTTTCCTCTCCTTCTCTCCTGGTAGTTTCTAAAACTAGCTCTAGACTTCTGTTGGTGGGCAAATGCCCTTAGTTAGGTGCCAGTGCCACAGGTCGGCTTCCCCACTAGGATGGTTCCCTCACTTTGCTGCCAGCGTATTCATGGGTCATTTTTTTTTTAATAAGAGTGATTTTGAATAATTTACCCAACATTCTAAATGTGCTGTAATAGAAGGGTTTATGGCATAATATCTAGTTTGCCATATTGTTCAAAATGGAATTTTGTAATCTTTATCAAATGCCTGTATGATTGGTATCATTGTTCTGTATCATGAATTATCAGCATTTGAACAAGTATATTTAAATATAAGCACGTTTGATGTTTGGAAATTTTTATTGAAGATTACAGCACAAAGCCACTCTGTAAACATCTCACTTAGAAGGAATCAGAGATCTGGGAAGCCTTCTTAATAGACCTTTCCATTCTATTCTGTAAGCGTTTTGTAAGTTTCTCCCCTCCTCGGCAGTGTTTGGGTTTTTTATATTGCCAATTAAAGGTGATCAAAGAGATCAGCTTGTAAAAGCTGAATTTGCTTCAGAGAAGCACAATGTTGCCAAATCCCAAGATTCTGTACTATTTTCAACTGTACTCAGCAGACCTCCTTGTGCCTCCCTTCCAGGGAGGGAACCGCACCATTACGTTGTTCAGTAGATGAGAATTTTCATAGGGCAACTAGGAGCTTTATAAAATGTCTGTTGACTTGGCTGAGTTCTGCCTTTCACATCTTTTCTTCCATATTAAACCTCCTCTTATGTATATATAATCAGTCCCCATTGGTACCCAGGGGTTTCCGGAATGTGTCAGCTTCCTGCATCCTTGAATGAGGACTACATCCACTTTCTGTAAAGTTTACCAGCCAAAGGAAATGTGACCTGTTTTATGCATCTCCATATGTGGAATATTTTGGGGGGAGGTGGTGGTGGTGTAGGGGGAGTAGGAAGGGAAGGGGAGAAAGAGGAGAGAGAGAGAGGAATGACAAGTGCCCTGGTGGGACCCAGTTGTTCACAGGGCTGAGCTGACACTAATCCTGACTGTCACTATCTGTTCTTCCAAGAAGACTGGACCAGATGGCTGTGGCAAGAATTCCAGTGCCTACTGAAGGCATGTGGGGAGAAGCCAGCATCGGGTGTGAGGCTTCTAGTCGCTCACACATGCGTGTTTTAAACCCAGGATGATCTTTAGGAAGCCTTCAGGATTGGAAAGGGACGATATAGCTTGGGCCGGCTGGAGTGGTATTTAGTTGGAAATACTGCAGTGTGATGTTCACATGGGGCAGTGCAACTGCTCTCGTGCTGCGTCTCAAAATGCTTTTCTTTCGTGGTCACAGCAGCAGCTAAAGTATATCCTTTTTAAATTTCTGTTTCCTTTTACAACTTGACCTGACTTTAAAATGAAAGGAAAGAAACACACATATACATAGAGCCTGTGTTCCGTGAGATCGTTCATTACCATGACGAAGCAGCCATTTGTTTTAGTCTTATCTCTGCAGCTGTTGAACTCTGTGACCTTACGAGGAGTCTCATAAGTTCTTTGGGTGCAGCTGTGAAACCTGGAGGTCATAATTCTTGCCCACTGTCTTCCTGGATCCACATGGATTTCCTAGAGGCATCTTAAATTCAACCTGCCCAAATCCATACTCACTGTCTACTCCTTAAATATATTTTTCTTCACTTTTCTTGTTTATGTTAGTACCTTCCATCCTGTGAACCAAGCAAAAAGCCCAAGTCATATTTTACTCCTCCCTGACTCTTAGCACTGCCATTTGTCTTCAGGTGCTGTCAGGTCTGCCTCGGCCACAGCTCAGCCATGCCCCCTTGATTCTGTCATCTCCGTCATCAGGTACCTGATCTCTGACATTAGCTTCTCACCTTTTAATCCATCCTCCTCACTGTCTCTAGTTATCTTTTTGAAATACAATTTGGATCACTCATTTCACTACTTAAAAATATGAATTTTTAAAAACCATAAATATAAAATTTATATATAAAGATATGCACATAATAACTTCAAATCTCCTTTGAATGGAAGCCTATCTCCAGTCCCTATAGAGGTAGAGTGTGGTTCCTATAAACAATGATGGTTAAAAATATACCACTTAAATCCAAATGGCTGGATTTGGAAATGGCACTACTGTATCAGACATGTGAGTTTTGTGTGTTTAATGATGTAAAAAACAGAAATCACATCTCTCAGTTGTAATGGACAAAGGGAAGATAAATCATACCTGTCAGAATAGCTATGAGAACTAATTGAAAGAATTTAAATAAAGCACCCAGGGCAGTCACTGCATGAGGGCAGAATGGAGGGTCTCAGAATAGTGTGAACTCAGAGACAATATGGAAAAAAGGCTGCAAAAATCAGGCTCAAAGGTAATGGTGGTAATAGTGATCATAACAATGGGTTGCTGTTCTTTTATATGGATCATTTATTTTCATTTATTTTCATAACTGCTCACTGTTCCCTACTAATAAAATCATTGTATTCTTTGTTCATCTGTTGATATCTTGCTTACCTTTCAAACCCATGGATCGGTTCATAACCTCTTGGCTAGTTATTCCTGTGGTCATACCAAGGTCCATGACACCACCAATCACTGCAGCCTTGCCATGATCTCAGTTTCAAACATCATACTTTGAGCTCAATCTCTAGACTCTTATTTTTGCATCTTCCATTTAAGACTGATTACAACAAATCTTGATTCCATGGGGACTTACAATTCATTGATTCGATGGTGTTTCCACGGCCCCTCATCCTTCATGTTTGCCTTCACCTTTAAATAGCTAAATTCCTATGGCCAGTTATTATAAACACTGACATACACCACTGTTTTCTTGCTATTCTTTCATTTAATATTAGTTTTTTGGCAAAAACCAACTCAAGTAGATGTAATTTTCTACCTATCTTTACTTGTGCTCTTGTTGCTGAATATAACTGGAAGAAAATACACAACTGTGCTGGCCAGTCTTCAAATTCATGATTACTCATCTGAAGTTGCCTCTTGGTGGTGCTGGAGGTTGTATTACACAAAGCAGTCAGGCCCTCTCACACATGATCCCAATGATACTTCATGCCTTTCCCTCTCTTCTCAAATCTCCATCACCTTCCCTCTTTCCCTCACTCCTAGTTGACCTTGTTTCTAATTTCCTGAAAAATAGTGGTGATTAGAATGGAAGTTGTACAAGTTTCCATATCTGATGTGTCTTTAAGCATATAGTCTGTCCTTCCTCAAGTTTCTGTCAGAGTAATGTCCAGGCTATCTTAACAGAGCCAGTTGCTTATGTGCTAGATCCCATAGTTTTTTGCAAATAAAAGAACAAAGCTTCAGCCAGTCATTCTCTGTCCCCATCATCAGTGTTTCCCACCCCCAAGGTATCATGTCCATCAGCATATAAGCATGTATTTGTGTTTTCCATCTCAACAAATTTTTCCTCAATCCCGTTTCTCCCTCCTCTGCCACTTCACTGTTCCCTTTTATGGCAACATGTCTTGAGTTGTCTGATTGCACTCTGGTACCTTACCTCATATCACAGTCAGGATTCTGCCCCTGGTATTTCACTGAATACTTTTATCAAGCTTCACCAGATGGCCTCCATGTTGCTAAACCCAACAGTCAATCCCAGGTC